TAGAGTTTCTTTAGGTTTGCTAGTCTCTCATGATGGTAGCAATTGTCTTGTGAAGTGAATGGACAGGAAAAGTGTTGTTATGACGTTATCAGTTAATGTTGTCAATCCAACTGATACATGCAAAAGGTACAAAAAAAGAGAAGTACATGGATGCCTCAAGACCAAAAGTAATAAATTCATATAATTCTGATATGGGAGGTGGAAATCTTTTTGACAAGATATTCTCATATTGTCCAATAAGAGAAAGAACAAAAAATGAAAAATCAGAACACTCTTTTACTTGATTGACAAGTGTGTGGTCAGTGCCTGTCTTCAGCTCAAGAAGGATACGATCGAAAAAAACATTCCTCGCCAAAAAAATAACGGAAATACACAAACACAAGCTCATGTTAGAAGAAAATATAATTTACAATGAGAAATATGAGTAACATGGAACTGAAGATGAAGAAAATCAAGTATCAATGACAAAAATTTCCAGTTCCCCTACCTCATGGTTATGTCAGGAACGCAAAATGTGCATATACACTATGTGATCAAAAGTATCCTGACACGTCCAAAATGGTATTATGGTGTGGTCGCGTTTTTCATTTCCCTTATTTTGAGTGGCACTATCACGGCACAAGCATACGCTGATGTTTTAAACGCCTTCTTGTTTCCCACTGTTGAAGAGCATTCGGGGATGGCAATTGCATCTTACAACACGATCAAAGCACATGTTCATACTGCACGGCCTGTGGCGGAGTGGTTACACGACATCCCTGTAATCGACTGGCAGGCACAGAGTCCTGACTTGAATCTTATTGAACATCTTTGGATTGTTTTGAAACGCCGACTTTGTGCTGGACCTTACCGACCTACATCGATACTTCTCCTCAGTACAGCACTTCGGGAAGAATATGCTGCCATTCCCCAAGAAACCTTCCAGCACCTGGATAAAAGTATTCCTGCGAGAGTGGAAGCTGTCATCAAGGCCACACTAGTGAATCCCAGCAATAAAGATGGAGGGCGCCACGAACTGGTATGTCATTTTTCGCCACGTGTCCGGATACCTTGAATCGCATAGTATATGCTCACATTTGCAGAAATTAAAGACCTCGATGTAACGGTAGAACAAGAACCTTCTATATTACTTGCACACTATTTTTACGTCTCGTTGCAAAAAGAAATTGTTTTATCGAGTACAATAGGAAAGGGCGAGTTACTATTTTGTTACCAATGCAGAAAAATCATACTTGCAACTCTTTTACCGAAGATTTCTATAACTCGGGAACGAAAATGTCTATTTTTTTCAAATATTGCTAATCTCTCGCTTTTTTATTTTTTTAATTTATTTATTTTAAACCTTTACTCATATTTCAACTATTTATAGTTAAAATGACGGGAAGGGATTCTGAAACTCAATAAAACGTGCGCACATGATCTTCTCTCCCATACATCACATACATTTTTTACTAAATAATCCTAAATCTAAATAAGAATTAGGTGTAAAAAAAATAGAATTATGTTCTTTGTATATAAAATATTTTATTAGCATTATAAATACATGTATTCAACTTATAATATTTTGAACCTTTCTCTTACAAATCAAACATGTATTATAACATGGAATTTATTAATCTAGACCTAGAGTACAGTATACTGTACTCTAGGTCTCTAGTCAGTCTCTCTCTAGTCAGTTTCCAGGCGAATGAGACCTCCGAGAACTATTTAAGTACTTGTTACTTTCTATAGTTTTATACGGAAATAAGAAGGGGGAACGGAAATTTATAGGAAAAGTTACGTAATGGAAAATCGACTTCGACGGAAATACACGTTTTCTGGTCCCCTAATTCCAAAAAATTTCTTTTCAAAACATCCGTCTGTCCATCGGTCTGTAAACACCCCTAGCGCTATGCATAAGACTATTCCAAATTGAAGAAACCCCTGTGAGTCCGGCTCGAGTCGATGCTTTGAAATTTCGAAAAACATTCTTCAAATTTTGGGGGTTCTTTACGTGAAGCCTTCCGGACATTTACAAAATTTTTTTAAGAACAGCTTCATTTTTTGTATTTAAATTTCTTGTAAGAATAGAGTAACGTGCTCTTATAAAAGTTGTATAGTTCCGATTGTCAAGGTTTATTCTGAATTTTCGAAAATTCACGAGCACGATTTTTTTCGGTTTCTTCCTACAACTACAAAATTAAAGACAACGATTTTTTCTTGAAATAAAATGTGTTCTGCATAGTAAGTTATTTCATTAAGGTAATATACATTGTTTTGGATATTTTAGTAGTTTTCGCGCAAAATAGAGCGCAATATGTGCAATTTAAAAAAATACAAAAACAAGATTTTCTCAAAAAACGGCTCGAAATTTTGTCTACATTTTGGTAGAGATAGAGCTAAATATACTCTTTAAGAATACAAAGACGCTGTATTTCTTTATTCTTTTGTTTTTTGAAAAACTACGAAAATGTAACTTTTTGACTAGTCTCTCTCGTCGATAATATTTACAAAAGTGGCGATTTGTTTTCATTATTAAATTTATGAGTACATGTGCTATAAATATGAGTGTACAAAGTTCTCGAAAACGCAACCCCTTTCTGTGAAAACTAGCTCAAAATTCCGCATTTTCAGAAACGTTCAAACGTCATTTTCTAAGAAATGCGTCATTTTTTTCTTCAAATCATTGCCAGCAACTTGTAAACATTATTGCATTCGCGACTGGAAATTTTTGATATCACTTCATATGATGTTTTTCGGAAACTGAATAGTTTCTGTGAACTACTAGCCGAGACCAAAGGAAATAGAAAACTAATACGGGAGTGTCTGTTCCTAACACGACTAGTTTAAACATCAGTTGGTCCAATACACTAAATTTTCATTTTGACAAGACACTTGTAAAATAAAATCTCTGGGCCTCAAGGGGATATGTGGAAATACTTGTGTAATTATCGTATGAGCTGTATATTACAGAAATAAATATATTTGGATCGATAAAGCAAACATTTGACAGAAATCGATGTAATACAAAATTTAATATCTTTGACTTAGAGACATAATATTTATTCTCTTCAGAACGTTGATCTCTTCGTAAGTTTAATTCTCATTCCATTGCTTGTAACAGTACTGAGTCCCCAAACAAACTGTGGTTCATACGTTTCATCTGGTTCTATAATATAATTCCAAATAACTTTACTGATTGTCGTTTTCAACGCCATTATTGCATATTTCCTTCCTGAAAAATAGGAAAAAAATTAAATTAAGTGAAATAGTATTTATAAAAAAATCATATTCCTCAAGTAAATAAATTCAAGATGTAACTAGTAATGCTACAGAAAGGCACGAGTTTTTTGTTACACTTAATTCCATTCTCTTTTCAATAGAAGCTGCATTTTCGATTTTGTCGCTCTCTTTTCACAGGTGTCATCTGTAACGCGCAGTAAATGAAAGGTGAACATAGATTTAACATTACTTTAATCAACCAAAAGTCGTTCCTTTGGCTTAAAATTTATACACAACCTAATGCCTGTCTGAAAGCGATGTCCAACTTCTCAGCGGCGTGTCGCGTCTCTTGTCACGCCAGACCGCGCCTTCCGCCCGTGTGGAGCGGAAGCCCCAAATTGCAGTGACCCCTTGCTCAGCCGTCACCTCCTGCCATTGTTGCAAGGGCCGCGGTCCCAGTTGGGCCGTCTCCGGTGAGGGTAGGTGACTCTCCCACTCCCACGAAGTCGTCTTCTCTCTCCGTGCCATCTCGTAGCCTCGTCGACGACTCTCTCCTACTGACTCGGTCTCCCTCTCGTACGGCGTAGGCTACCGTCCTCTCCCCTGCCAGGAACTGCGCTGCACGATAGACCACTGAATTGGCGAAACTTGTCTTTCTAGCGCTGGCGGGCCCAATGTATAGCGGGGGCGGCGTTGGTGTAGACTCGCTCCTCGCCAGGAGCCTCATGGCGCGCGTCTCGTCCGTGCCGCAGCTGCTACTAGCGGTTTCATGACGCGCGCTCGCGCGGCAAATTCAAGTAGTCGCCATTCATCGGAACCTAAGAGACCTACTATGGCTTCCCGCAAGTAACTGCGGGAAGCGTGCCTGGGATGAGTTCTCAGTGAAAGGCTCACATCCAGTGAACACATTACGCCGTGGCCCCTTTAGGTCCTCGTCCCTGAACCCACCATTGTCTCATATAGAACTCATACCATTATTCTGTATATAAGTAGCATTGTCAATTACGCACACAGACACGCTACATACATTTTTTTACACACTCTTACAGACCATGGCAAGGGGGTTTGGAAGGGATAAGGTATAATGCTCATGCACTGAAGACTTGGAAATCTCATGCCACATCCACAATTTATGCGTTAATAATACGCGATACTAGGGATTCGTACTTGTATAGAGCATTAGTGTGCGAAATTGTAAACGGACGTAAATTTTGAAAAAACACTTTGTCGGTATCAGGAGGCCCCAAAACGTGAATTTCCGATGAAATCTCGAAATCGATCGAGGTGGCAAAGAGTACGAAGTCGTCAGCAAAGCGGAGATTTGTTATTCTTCTGCCATCCAGGTAAATTCCTGTGTAGTTTGCGGAATACGTCTTTTTGTAAACATGTATATAGTTAGGGTTATAAAGAATCTCCTTGTCACACTCCGGGTTCAGATTAAAAGTTTCTCCCTCATGTTCTGTACGGACTTTTGTTTTGCTTTGTTTATATATCTTTGCTGGAATTCTTATGTTATATTTTCCATGGATGCTTTGTGATGGAGAGCGTCAAACATAGCGTCACGTTCTATACAGTCGAATGTCGGAGAAATCAATGAAGGCTATATAGATCTTTAGATTGTATCAGATTGATTATTTGGTTGATGGTTTGCAGATGGTTCGATGTGCTATATCCTGCTCTGAAACCCGCTTGTTCAGTGTTGTTCTTCGTCCTGTCTATTCCTGATTCTTGTAGTCAAACATTTGGAGAATAATTTATACATATTAGACAACAGACGTATTGGTCTAGTGTGTCTCTGTTTCCTTTGTTGTGTACAAGTGTTATGACATTTCATGTCAATTGCTTGGAATTTCTTGTTTTTCAATGTTATTAAACAATCCTGTTATTTTTGTGTTAACTTCTTGAGGGCATGCTCTCAGGAATTTGTTTAACACCTTATCGACACCTGGATTTTTTCCAGGTTTCAATTCTGACAGTGAGTGCCTTACTTCACTTACACTTAATAGAGGTATTTGTTCTAGTTCTTTATCGCGGTGATTTGTGAAGTCTATTTGTGGTTGAGATGTTTGGGCTTCGTACAGTTGTTTGTAGTATTGAGTAGCAACTGAGTCGATTTCTTTTCTCTGAGTTACTCTTTTCTCTTGTTTGTTTTTTTATACTGAGAGTCCACTGCTTTTCAGGGTGTATTGCTTTCTTTGTTATCTCTAACGAATTATTGTTTTCATTATGTCGTTTATCACTGTTGTGTTGAAGTCCATTAGGTCTTTTCTTATTTCCCTCTTTGTCTTTTTGTTTAGATATTTGAACTTTTCTGAGTAGGTGTGTGTATGAGAAGGTTGTGTGTCTGTATGATCGTATTTTTTCCCTCTCGTCTATGAGTTTTAGTTTTCTTCTCTTTTGAATGTTTGGGCTTGATTTGGTAGCTTCTTTCCCAGCTGTGGCAACGCTTTTGTTTTAGATTTTCGTAGCGTTCTTGATTTTTTCCTATTGGAGTGTCGGGAATTTTCTTCTGGATTTTTTTCTGTCTGTCTATTTTTGCGTTGATATTCCCTATGAAAAAATTAAATTGGCTTCTATATTGGTTTACAGTATTGTGTAACACGTCATAAATTCTTCTAGTTTCTCGTCAGAGCTGTTGGTAGTGGGAGCGTAGATTTTAATGACCGTTATCTTGTTTTTGCCTGTTTTCACTTTTAGTACAATTATTTTCTCAGATATTCCTACTATTTCTTCTATTTCGTTTCTGATGTTTTGCTTACTTGTAACGCTACTCCCTTCTGTCCTCTAATGGTTCCTATTTAGGAGAAAATGTCTCCGCTTTGCTTAGTTTATATTGCTTCACCAAGTATTCGTGTTTCACTTAGTCCTAAAATGTTTCGTTGATTTTGCCAATTCATGAGCGTCAACGGTTCTTCTAGTACAACGTCCCTTACCTCCGGCATTGAAGATCTTGTGTTATAATTCATGATCGTTAGTGCAACCTTTCTTGTGTTAGTTGGTTCTGATTTCTTGCCTTTCACTTGTGTCTTTTGTAGGGTTTTCTTTTTCGACTGTGATATATTTTAAGAGAATGCATTTATTCTGATGTTAAAAAACTGCTCCAATGTTTCCACTTATCATTGAATTGGAGCTTCTGGTATCCGATTTTAACTCGCTTTCCTTTGTGTCGTTCGTCTTGAGTACTGTGTTTGTCTGTTAATTGTATTTCTCTTTCTTGGGCTGAGAGAACCCTTTCTATATATGTATTTTTAAAGTTTTCTTTGACTTTTAATTTGTTCTTGTTTTTTCAATATGTGTAGTTTATCGCTGAAGTTTCTCAGTTTCTCCCTTACTAATTGCCTACTGCTCAGCCACTAACGAGTTTAATTTAAATACTCCTTATTCTAATAACGTTTTGCTTTCTCGTTCATCTTAAAACTGCAACGTAATATTTTCCTTAAAGATTCGGTTATCTTCCCCGTCACCTCCTGAAACGAAATTTAAACTTTGAATAAGTAGTACATACCTATACAAGTTCGCATTCCACCACCGAACGGCATGAAGGCGTAGGGATGTCGTTTGGCCGAGTTCTCGGGAGAGAAACGTTCTGGGTCAAACACGTGCGGATCAGGGTACACCTTGGGGTCCATATGCAGACTACTCGGTGACAAAATTACCATAGCTCCAGCAGGAAGAACGAGATTGAGATCGCCTACAAATAAAAAAAAACAATGAAGCTGTTACGTACAAGAATATTTTTGCTCGTAATAAATAAGCCATAAAACTCATCACAAAATTAATTCAAGACGACGTTCACAAAATAACACAAGTGGGGCCGTTGCAAGCGAAACTGATTGATTGGCGCATTAGGTGCAGAAGTATGGATTATTACGTTATTATATCACCAAACGTTTTTGTCCTGATTCATGAATGCGTTTAGGAATACGCATACAAGCAATTGCGTGATCTGTACACCACGGTTTGCGGAACAGTGTATGTGGTTCGAAATATCACCGCAATTGCCCAGATTGCCACGCGAAGAATATGTCACAGCTGTCGTTGTTCGTTTGTCAATTTGATGTTTGGACTATTGCTAAATACATTATTTTTTATTACAGTATTTATATTTTATTTTGAGACTTGTATTAGATTGTTAAGGCCCCCGGCGCCCACTTCATGCGCTTGTTCGGATGATGACACTAAAGAAAAATATTTTTGCCTGCAGGAATGTTTTCAATCGAAACGCGTTCTGATGAACAGAAAAAT